CCCCCCACATATTTTTTTCCTACTTATGTCCACTATAATTTTATACAAGGTTGCTTGCATCAATTTAGATTTTCATTACCATTTTCCATTCTCTCTCAGTTAAGCAATAAGTTTGCATTTCGACCTGAACATAGTTTAAAGTCATCAACATCAATGTATGCATTATTGTAGCGGCAGCTCCCGTGTTCAGAAACTGACAGTTTACAGAAAGTACTTGTCACACCTGATTCTTGACATACTGCTGATGTTTGTGTAGGTCGTGGGCTTTGTTTTCCTGTCATAAAGACGTGTGTGTTTGGGAATGAATCTAAGACTGGACTGCTGGATGATGATTCACTGGCGGCCAGAAACGAGTCTGAATCCAGTTCATCTGCTCCACAGGCCATCAAACTCTTCTTCTGTGCTGCTGGACTCCAGGTTATACATTCATTTGTCACCACACTGGGTCATTTAACTATATGCACAAGTTAATAGTCTAAACCATAATATTTACAATATCTATATTTTTTTCACTTTTTAAATAGTTTTTCATTTAACTATATGCACAAGTTAATATATATATATGTGTGTGTTGTGTATATATATATGTGTATATGTGTGTGTGTGTAAAGCCAAAAGCTTTTCTTTACCCTAACTGAAATTATGCATTTTAAATTAGAATATAATTCGAATTTTGATCATATTTAAGTACAAAATTCGAATTTAGTTTTTCAGCCATTTTGACAGCCCTAATGTGTATGTATGTATGTATGTATGCATGTATGTGTGTGTGTGCACGCATGTATTTCCCCCTTTCTTTGTTAATTATTTTATTATTTAATTAAAATCACCATGAAGGCAGTACAGCCTATTTTACCAGTGATACTTGTTGGATTCTCAATAGTGTAATTGCAGTGTTTTTTTTTTATTTAAAAGTAGAATCATATTTCTGTATTCAAAATTTTATATTTAAAACATTATTCTCCACATGAATTTATGAATTTAATTGCACTCATGCCATCATTCATTCAATTGATTCGTTCGAACGGCTGAATCTTTCAGGAATGAAGCAAGTGACTGTATTTATGAACTGACGGAAATCCGTCGTAGCGACGGAACTTTAATCCCTGAGTATATCTTTTTTCATTTTAATTAAAACGTTTTTAATTAATTGAATTTAGTTATTTGTAATTTTAAGTAATATATCATTTTTTGCATTTCAGTAAAAAAAAAAAAAAATTATAATTTACAGTATGCATTACAATATTTTTGGAGTGTTTTTTTTATTTAAATAGTATTTTTTGATGAAGTTATTTTATTATTTTTAATGTGTGCACAAGTTAATAGTCTTCATGTGTTCAATAATATCTAAAATATATATTTTTATCTATATATATATATATATACATTTTTTCATCTAACTATTTGCACAAGTTAACAGCCTTCACGTGTTCACAATATCCATTTTTAAAATTATTTTATAGTTTAATTAAAATCACCATGAAGGCAGTATGACATATTCTATCTTTATTGTTTTTCTTCACTTTTAAAATTATTTTATTAAAATCATCATGAAGCCAATACAACATATTTTACCAATGATGATAAAAAATACTTTTTAAGTAATATAACTTTTTTGCATTTCAGTAATTTTTTTTGTACAGTGGTACTTTTTTTTTGTGTAGTTGTTTTTGTAATTCCCATTTTTATCAGTATTAATTCTCATTAGATTCCCACTACTATAATTGCAGTTTTTAAAATGTAAATAATATTAAGAAGTTATTTTATTTTTAATACGGTGTGCACAAGTTAAGAAATGAATAGTCTTTTAATAGTCATGTGTTCGCAATAATATCTACATATGAAGAGTTCATTTGCAAAAACCGATAACTATTTTTAACAATTTTCAAAAATCATGTTTTTTCATTGTGCATTCCAATTAATATCAATCAAACTGCAGTTGGGTTATTTTGATTAGGTAAAACACAATAAAAACCTGATAACATAATAAAAAACATGATTTTTGAGTTATCTGCTTTTGCAAATGACCTCTTCATATATCAATATCTCTATATGTTTTGGCCTCGTGCAGGCGTCGTACCTGACGTGGGGTGTTCTTCAGGAGCGGGTGATGACGCGCTCGTACGGTGCGACCGAGGTGGAAGGCAGCGGCGAGCGCTTCAGAGACTCTCAGTTTCTGGTGTTCATGAACCGCATCCTGGCGCTGACGGTGTCCGGTCTGTGGTGTGTCCTGTTCAAACAGCCCCGTCACGGTGCGCCCATGTACAAATACTCCTTCGCTTCACTGTCCAACATCCTCAGCAGCTGGTGCCAGTATGAAGCGCTCAAATACATCAGCTTTCCCACACAGGTACAGCACTGCATTCTGGGTAAATGAGCTGTGTGGTAAAGCAGGTTTATTTTATATAGCACACACTAACATCGTCATCATAGACAATGGTGATTCAAAGGTCTTTACATAACTTTCAGAGCAAACATTGATAAATATGTCCCAGCCATGTTCGTCACTTTGCAGTTCCCTTAAACATTTCCGAGGTGGTCTGTGTCTATTTGCAGTGCATTTCTGTATTTGGTTGTATTGTGAGCATTTGCAATGCGTGTGTTGTCAAATTGATGATGTTTTCGTAATTTGCAGATGTTTTTTCATGTGCAGCACGTTGAGCTCTCCAGGCCACTGTACATTTGATCAAATCTTGACATTTGTGACCCTGGAGCACAAAACCAATCTTAAGTAGGACAGGTATAATTGTAGCAATAGCCAAAAAAACATTGTATGGGTCGAAATGATCGATTTTTCTTTTATGCCAAAAATCATTAGGACATTAAGTAAAGATCATGTCTCATGAAGATATTTAGTAAATTTCCTACCGTACATATATCAGAACTTAACTTTTGTTTAGTACTTCACCTCCAACTGGCAGGACAACCTGTTCAAGTACAAGATGTCGTCGGTGCAGATGATGTTCGGCGTCAATCTCTTCTCGTGTCTCTTCACGGTGGGCTCTCTGCTGGAGCAGGGTGCCTTCTTCAACTCGCTGGCCTTCATGATGCGTCACTCCGAGTTCACGATGCACGCCGTGCTGCTGTCGGTTTGCTCCGCCTTCGGGCAGCTCTTCATCTTCTACACCATCTCGCAGTTCGGTGCGGCCGTCTTCACCATCATCATGACTCTGCGGCAGGCCATCGCCATCCTCCTGTCTTGCTTCCTCTACGGTCACGCCGTCACCCTGGTGGGCGGCTTGGGCGTAGCCGTGGTCTTCCTCGCCCTCTTCCTGCGCATCTACGCCCGCAGCCGCGTGAAGAAGAGCAGCAAGCGGGCCGCGCAGACGCCCGTTCAGAAGGTTTAATCGAGCGCTCGTTCGGATGTGTACAGAAGCCACATTTTCGTGGCTTGTTCGTCTTTTTTTTTTGTTTGCTGCAAAACTGTGGGTTTGTATTCCGTAAGGTCGGACGGTACAGAAAGGGATTATTCTTTATCTTAATGGATTAGTTCACGCAAAAATAAAAATTCTGTCATTAATTACTCACCCTCATGTCATTCGTAAGACCTTCGTTCATCTTCGGAACACACTTTAAGATATTTGAGATGAAATCGGAGAGCTCTCTGACCCTGCATGGACAGCAACGCAACTGAAATGTTCCCAGGTCCAGAAACATAGTTAGGACATCGGTAAAACAGTCCATGTGACATCAGGGTTCAGACATCAACTTCAGTTTTGCAAAGCTACTAGAATACTTTTTGTGTGCAAAGAAAACAAAAATAATTTATTCAACAATTCTACTCCCCGAGTTGCTTCGTAAAACTGAAGGTGAGCCACTGATGTCACATGGACCGTTTTACCGATGTCCTTGCTACGTTTCTGGACCTGGGAACATTACAGGTGCGTTGCTGTCTATGCAGGGTCAGAGAGCTCTCGGATTTCATCACAAATATCTTAATGTGTGTTCCGAAGATGAACGAAGGTCTTATAGGTTCGGAATGACATGAGAGTGAGTAATTAATGACAGCATTTTCATTTTGGGGTGAACTGTCCCTTTAAAGGGATTTTGCCTGCACATTGTGACTTGTTATTTTTTTTGTGTGTGTGAGAAATGACTTGACGAGCCATCGAGTGAACACCGACTTTGATAGCCTTTGATATCTTTGTAATTTGGTACTGAAATGCGTTCAGTTTTTCTATTTAAAGTTTGCTTTAAGAAGTTGTTCGAGAGGAAAACGAAATGTTGTTGAGGTGGAGAAGCCTTAGGAGTGCTGGTTTACTCACCGTTCTGTTCGCATCATATCTGGGTCATATTTCACTCCAAAATACAAAGGAAAATATGAAATTAATAATAAAACACAATAAGAAATAGAAAAGACCATGTGGCCTTTTTTTTAAGAACCATTACATTTTTGACAATGACATTATTTTAAATAATGTCATTGTCAAAATGACATGTTTTTTTAAAACATGTTTTTCTTTGTGCGTGTGTGTGTATATGTATGTGTGTATAATATATATATATATATATATATACACACCTTGCTAC